TAGTAACTTAAGCAACTTTCTTTGTAACAGAAATGAAGTAATTAAATCATGAATCCTGATTGAACGAAAGTGAGCTTATTCAGTGTGTCTCCATTTTGTAACTCTTAGGGGAATGGAAGTGTTCTAGGACTTAACTTGCACAGTGCAGTTAAATTATAGCTGCCAAAATTCGTGGCTGGTCTAGTTAATTCTCACCGTGGAGACATATCTAGGATATTCTCGGAGAAAGCAGACCTTGAGTGACAGTTTAGTGAAAATACAAATTCCAAGTTCATCTCTCCTCTTATTTTTTTTTTTTTGAGCTATATTCTTTAGCGTTCTTCAACAGAGAAATTGAACATTTTTACAGAATTGTAGAGATAGCTTGTTTTCTTCATAAAAATTTCAAGGGGGGAGGCTGGGTGGCTCAGTTATGAGGTGTCTGCCTTTGTCTCAGGTTATGATCCCAGAGTCCTGAGATCCAGCCCAGCTTCAGGCTCCCTGCTTCTCCCTCTCCCTCTGCTTGCTGCTTCCCCTAGTTGTGTCTCTCTCTCTCTCTCTTTCTGTCAAATAAATAAATAAAACCTTTTTAAAAATTTCAAGGAATATATATCAACAGCAGCAACCAAGAAATGGGTTTGAGTCTGGCAGTAACCCAAGTAGGTAAACACCTCTCTGAAAACTGGTCAGGAGCTTCAATCAATAAGAAAATCTCAGACAGGGCACCTGGGTGGCTCAGTTGGTTGAGGATCTGACTCTGGTCATGATCTCAGGGCCTGAGATTGAGCCCTGCTTGGGATTCTCCCCTGCTCATGCGCGTGTGTGTGCGTGCGTGTGTGCCCTCTCTCTCTCTCTCTCTCTCTCTCTCTCTCTGTGCCCCTCCCTCTCTCTGGAAGAAAGGAAGGAAGAAAGAAAGAAATAGAGAAGGATAGAAAGAAAGAAAATCTCGACATAAAGTCCTCTGTAGAATAGATTTTTAGGAGGGGGTGATTTTCATGCAAATTGTAGGCTTTTGTTATTGTTACGATTTTAATTTTCTTCTTTCTTTTTGAAATGCAGCCACTCACATCTCCAGACCTGAGACTGATGTACCCCAGAAACAACCATTTTTTCAGATGTTTCCATTAAATTCCTTCTATCTATAAGGTCCTCCAAACACTTTTGTGCCTCTGTTTTTTATCCTTCCAGATAATTCCCTCTTTACCTATTCTCTGAGGGTCTCCTCTGCTGAAAACAACTCAGGGCAACTTTTGGAACTTGAAAGGACAAATAACTTTTTCACTATACCCTTCATATATCAACATGTTCAATAATGAGACCAAGGTTTGAAGCCACCCTGTCACCTTGGGATATTGAGTTCAAAATGAGAAAACTCAGAGTATAGGTAAAAAGAAAAGTCAAGTCATTTCTTAAGGGAGAGAAGGCTAACATAACCCAAGTTTGATGTTGATAAAAAAAAAAGAAATATAAAGAAAAGATATAGTTGTAAAGACAAATAAAATGATTAATGGTAAGAATAAAAATTCATATAATCAATTACCAAAAAAGGACATTAGTAAGGAAATCATTTATTATATACTTTGAACAATTTCTCTATTTACTTCCAGAATTACATAATTTTAAAATATTGTGGTTTCTATTGAAAAATTATTTCTAAAATATTATTATGTCTGCAGTTCATGCTCAATATTCCTTTTTATTATTTATTGTACAACTGTCTCAGATATAGAGAGATTTACAGAATGGTTTCTCAGATACCTGTTCCTCAGATTCAATCATCAGCACCAACATTTTGCTAGTCTGCCTTATCCTCCCAATCCCTGACATTACCTCCAAATACTGCATTCCACAGTTCTAATTACATAAAAATCCACTGTTTTTACAATTATATATGAACAGCCATTAGTGGGAAAATGTTTACAGAGATGTTGCAAAGATTTGATCATCTTAGAAATTCCTTTTGAGGGGCGCCTGGGTGGCTCAGTGGGTTAAAGCCTCTGCCTTCAGCTCAGGTCATAATCCCAGGGTCCTGGGATCGAGCCCCACATCGGGCTCTCTGCTCAGCAGGGAGCCTGCTTCCCCCCCTCTCTCTCTGCCTACCTCTCTGACTGCTTGTGATCTCTGTCAAATAAATAAATAAATAAAATCTTAAAAAAAAAAATCCTGTTGATCATACCTAACAATATTGTCTTTTTCCAGAATTATTTTCTTAAAAATATATTTATTTATTTATTTATTATTTATTTGAAAGAGAGAGAGAGAGAGCATAAGGGAGAGGCAGAATCCCCGCTGAGTAGGGAGCCTGATGTGGGGCTTGATCCCAGGACCCTGGGATCATGGCCTGAGCTGAAGACAGAAGTTTAGAAGACAGACGCTTAACTGTCTAGTATACCCAAGCAGGCCCAGAATTATTTTCTATTCTGGCACCTTCTCCAGGTACTCTCTACCTGCCTTGCATTCCTATAGCTCAAGCACAACTCATGGGAACCCCCTGACCCCCACCCCTCGTCCATGCAGTTTTGAGACACGGCAGTCTTTAATCAATCACTATGTAATTAGTGTATAAAAGTGTTTTAAAAAGACATGAGAATTAGTAAAGTAATACAGACTGATCAGAAAATGGTCTGGTTTTAGGGACTGTGAGCCAGGAACCTCAGATGAAGACCAAATACATACGAAAAATATATTTTGGTCATCTGAATGACCAAATTTATTTTTCTTACAAATCACAATATCACAGATAGACTCTGTGATCATTGATTCAAAACTTGTGATTTATAATCTTAAGTTTCAGATGGTTTCTGATAATTACCTTTCTCTTCCAAGTATACAAAAAAAAATTTTAAATACTGATCATTTTCTTTTCTAACTTTTGCTTCAAATGTGTTCAAAAACTATGATGCAAATTAACAAAGCAAAAAAAAAAGTGACAAACAAACAAACAAACAAAAAACCAGACTTTGAAATACAGAGAACAAGCTGGTGGTAGCCGGGAGGAAGGTGGATAGGTTGATGAGTGAAATAAGTGAAGGGGATTAAGTACAATTATAACGAACACTAAGAAATGTACAGAACTGTTTCATCATTATATTGTACACCTAAAACTAATATAATACTGTATGTTAGTTATACTTGCATTTAAAAATAAATTAAAAAAATTAAAAATCAGGATGCAATTAACCATATTATAGAACAGCTAAAATCATTCTTTATTAGCCTTTACAAAAAGTCCATTCTTCCTGAACCTTTTCCTCTACTCTTTCATTAACACTAGAATGCTCAAAATTTCCCTTTTTTGTTATTGTTTACTTAATAAAATTTTTCCTCTATTCCTCTCCTTTTCTAGGTCATGCAAATTGATGTTCTTGTGATAGCATTTGGTCTTTCTAGACAGGCTGATGTACTTTATAAGTTCCCAACCTGTGAGCATAGTTGAAGTTTCAGTTATAGTCGGCACACCTTTGAGATGGATTTTTCTCTCTTCATAACTTACCTGAAAATGTTCCTCTTTACATAGTCTAACAGAGGAGAAAGTTTTATTAACTGAGAGAGGATTAATGGTACTGAATGAAATAATTTAGCTGGAAAGGTTTTGTTTATTTTCTTTCTTCTTCTTCTTTTTTTTTTTAGTCCACTTTTTCTTTGAAAGGATGCTATAAATAAAAACCTTAAAAAGGAGATCAAAATTAACCAGGTCCTGTTGGCCCAGCATTTAGCTAAATAAATAAGAATAGAAATTTATTCCTTGCTCAGAAGCTGGCTGCAGATTTGCTAAGTGATTGATTTGATGTTAATTTTCTGCATGGACCTCTCATTTCCTATGAGAGGAAAATGAAATCAGCCAAGGTGAATGAATCCTATTTTAGGTCTTACTTTTAATTTGGGAAGTTCGGAAGCCTCCATATTTTGGCAGGACTAGATATCCAAGGGATCCTCACTTACGGTATCTCAAAGAAGGGAACTTGCTCTGAAAAGACTGCAGAAGTTCTCAATGTCCAAATCCCAGTATGTTCTGAGGATGGAATTGAAATGAACATATTGATGACAGGTGCCACCATTTTGCCCAGTCTAACAGCCTATTTCTTTACAATGGAAATCCGTGTTGGAGAAGGTCCAAGGTGTGACTCCCAGCCATGTTTCTGCCTCAGCCCTGGATAGCATCACCATGTTCTGTTTCTACAAGAATCACCTTCTTCGTCTTTATGTGTCATGAATTGAGGACAGAGATGACACTGTGTATTTCAATATGTGACTTGTGGGGTGATTGGAGGGAATAAAGGGAGAATTATGGCACATAAAAATATGCTACTAAAAGATGTATGACAGAAAGAACTATTGACTAAGGACCATAATTCTTATTTTTTCCAGGTTTATTGAGGTATAATTATCATATAACATTGTGTAAGCTTAAGATGTACAACATGATGATTTGTTGCACACACATATTACAAGATGATTGCCACCACAGCATTAGCCAACACCCCCCTCACATCATATAATACCGTTTCTTTTTTGTGGTGAGAACACTTAAGATCTACACTGTTAGCATCTTTCTAGTATATAATACAATATTATTAACCCTAATTCCCATGCTGTACCTTAGGTGCTTACAACATATCCATCTTGTATCTGGAAGTGTGTAGTCTTTGAACAAAATCTCTTCATTTTCCCCACACTCCCTGCCCCTGGTATCCACCACTCTACTCTCTTGTTTCTCTGAGTTCAGCTTTTTTTAGATTCTACCTGCAATATTTGTCTTTCTCCGTCTCATTCATTTCACATCATGTAATGCCATGAGGACCATAAATCTTGAGTAAGAAATTCTCTCTCCACAACCTTTCAGCAAGTTGCTTGACCTCTCTGGGCCATGATGGAGTTTGGAACTTCAATCATACTGTTTTTTAGTAAGAATAAAAGGCAATTTTGTTTTGAAGGCATTCTGAGTCTAATACTTTTGAAACTATGCTACCGTATTGGAATCTCTAGTTATAGACTAACTTTTTTCAATGTTTATTATCCAGGACCCCAAGTTACGTGAACTTTTGGATGTGGGGAACATCGGGCGCCTGGAGCATCGTATGATAACCGTGGTGTATGGGCCTGACTTGGTTAACATCTCCCATTTGAATCTCGTGGCTTTCCAAGAAGAAGTGGCGAAGGTATGGTGGATAGAAACTTCTGGCCTTTGTCATCTCACTCTGAAACCTTGTGACATTGTACTGATCTCTGCAAGAGATTGAGTTGTTGTCATATTTAACACGTGTTAAAATTACATCTAAAAATAATTCAGCTGCCAAGTAGAAGTGTAATTCAAATGCTTCCAAATAATGGCCCCTACTAAGAATTATGGAGATTTCTCATTAGACATCAGGCATTTGATATAATTTCTTTGCAGAAGAAAATATAGGTGACACCACTTTTTACTTCACTTAAACACCTTGTCCCTACGCCGTCTCTCTTAGCCTCATCCCAAACTACTTCTGACCCCATCTCCTTTTCAACCCTCTTCTTGAGAGCAGACATTCTTAGCACCTTATTAACTTCTTTTAACCTACCTACCCCCTAGCCCACCACCATGCACATAGTAGCTGCTCAAAGAATATGAGAAGAAATGAAACCATTTTGAAACAAAAATTTCAAATAATGACAATAAATAACACTTATTCAGTTATGGACTAGAATAATAAATTAGATGGAGCATCTCCATTAAGCACTTGCTAATTTACTAGCATAGCAGGCCTTTCAGATACATGCGTAAATAACTTGAATAGAGCAAGATCTATCAAACCAGAAGTCATCAATTTCTGGGAACACTGGACTCCACTTTGAGACTTTCTCTGGAATAGTCCAATTGCCATGAAATCCAGAGCACTGAAATGAACATATCAAAAGAAGGGCTCTCTTTTTTCATGTTTACAGTTCACAGGATAGAAATGATGATCCTTACCTTTCATACCTTCCCTTCAAGGGTTAAGAATATGAATCAAAGAATACTTTTAAGTCATATGTCATATCTGTGCCCTTATAGAACTTCTTGTGTCAAGGATCACAGCTATAGGGCCAAGCCAATCATCATTATGATCTATAAATTTTTAACCCTCGGTGGTCTGACAGTTCCCTGAGCTACACCAGAAATAATGAACTGACCTCTAATTTTTTAGTTATTTATGGTAGAGGCTTATTTCCAACGTTTACATGATAGCAGTCTTACTTCTTACAAAGGAATGAATGAAGTGCCAACCAGTTTTAACAGTGTGAGGTCTTTAGAAACTACTCTCCAAGCCTGTGTTACAGACCTACTCTATTTTCCCTCTTTGAGAACCAAGTCATCCATTTGCTTCTAGAGGATACCTCAGACGTTTGGGGAGACTTCAGTTTTATGAAACATTCAGTGTGGCAGCGTTATACTCGCCTAGCAAGAGTTCTCATTCTGGTATACTGTTGGTGATCTGTGAGTTTACATACTTCATTTCTCAGTATATGGATGGATGGATGAATATGGATAAATAAATAGTAATGATTTGCAAAATATCTTTAAAATATCTTTCCCCAAATGCAGCCATATTCAGTTTTAAAAATCACCAATTCAGGAGATTCTATAACTCTCAAAAACATTCAGTAAATGACAGTGACTTTCAGGGAGGCTTTTACTAAGAGTGAATATAGATTTTATATTATAAGCCAATCTACATATCTTATACTGCATTAAACTTTGTGCAGTTATGTTTAAAACATATTCAATTTCCGCCTCTCTGTGCACTCCTACCCACTAATTTTCTTTAGGGATTTTGATGCCTGAGCCATGTAATATTCCCCGTCAGGACTGCATCTGTAGACATCGTCCCAGGAGCAACTTGATGTTTCTGGTATAATTAATGAAGCTACAGAATATGTTTTGCCTTTCCTGCCTTCCCAGTAGGGTATTTTTTTCCCCCCACTGAAACTGCTCAGCCAGAAGGTTAAAATTTGCAAACACCATTTTACTCTGAAAACTTACTTTTCTTCCTTCTAATTGTCAGTATCGTCTCATAACATCACACCTTTTATTTAATCTCTGGGGCCAATGTACATGATGCTTTGTGTAGTGCCAACACCAAAGGAGACAGCCTCTCTCATTATGTAGAATGCCTGACAGAAACCTGAGCTGCTTTGAAACTCGAATGTCTCCAGAAGAAATTATTTACAAAGGGATTCTGGCTCATTTATTCATTCAACACATATTTGTTAGTTGCCTTCTCTATGCCAACCACAATTCCAGTGTTAGGGATTCAGCATTCTAGAATGCTGAGAGCCAGCATCCTGGGAGAAATAAACAGATAAATCACCATTATGAAGGAAATATACTGTAGGTCAGATGGAGATCTGTGTGGAAGAAAAAAGCAGGAGAAGAGGGCACAAGCCGTGGGAGAAGGGGGTTATTTCTTTATGGGGTATACAGAGAAGGCGAAAAATCTGAAGGAAGTTGTTCCATTACAGCAATATCATAGATTTCTGAGAAATCCATTGGATCAATTTAAAAAATCAATCAAATCTAGAACTTGAAACTTCCTAAATATATTATTCCAGATTTGCATGCTTCCTTTCTTACATAAATCACTTGAATTTGAAATTTTTTTTTATTCTTTAAGACAAGTAACTTTTTAAAAAGTTTGATAGAGGAGAACACTGTCTTTCAATTTTTCTCTCTGTAGTTTGACTAAAAATATGGTATCTCTTGCAATTATACAATAATCATACTTTTTGTTATGGAGCTTGGCTTTCCAACCACTCTATACCTAAAGGATTATCTTTCTTTGCTTCCTGAGGGGCACTCCCTTTAATGTGCCAAGAAAACAGATGATTTCACATTTGCCTTCTTGAGTCGCATACTTCTCCAGGCATCTTCTGCTCCCCTAGGGACCAATGGACACATGCATGTTTACTCTCCCCTGGAACTCCTGGACTTCAGTCCATGGGCTGATGGGATGCCCTGATTTCTCCTGGGAGCCCTGGGGAGGAGGTGAATAACACCATCCTTCCTTTTACTTTTCTACCATTAACTTCCAATAATTTTCTACTCACAGCTACATGACTTGTGGCAAAGATATCAACAATGGAAACTAGCCAAGGCAGCAGAAGTTGATTCCCTGTGTTGTGATATGGGCTTCTGAAGGACTTTGGCTCTTATTGTGAGGAATATGGAAGCCACTGAGGGTTTTAAGCAGAGGGTGGACATGACCTGACTTAACCCTTTAGTCAATAATGGACTGCCTGGGGAGAGGCAATATTATGGAAGCAGGGAGACCAGTGAAACTACCAAAATATTTGAAGTGAGTTGTTAGTAATTTTGACCAAGGTGGAGCTGCATAGGAAATGAGAAGGAGTCTGTGTGTGTGTGTGTATTATATGGAGAGAGAGAGAGAGAGAGGGAGGGAGGAAGAATCAAGAGCAGAGGTTTATGAATTGTATGTTGCATGCAAGAAAAAAAGAAGAATCAAGGATAATGTTAGAGTTTTGGCCCAAGAGACAGGCAGGATGGAAATACCACTTACATCATAGGGGAAATTTTAAGTAGAGCACATTTGTGGGTATATAGTTAAGGTTCAGTTTTGATTATGTTCAGATTGAGATCATTATTAGACATCCAACTGGGTATGTTGAGTTGGATATACGAGCCTGGAGATGAGTGCCAAATATAATACATTAATATATACAATATATTAATTTGGAAGTCTTCAGGTCATAGATAATATTTAATGAGGCTGGATGAGATCAGCCAGGAAGTGACTGCAGATAGAGAAGATGTCCAAGACCTGAGTCATCCATATGCCAACATAAAGAGATTGAGATAAGAAAGAATCAGAAAAGGAGGCCAGTGAGGAGGAGGCATTGAGGAAGTGTGTGTCATTGGAAACCAGGTGAAGAGAACATTTCAGGGAGAATAAAGTGATCAACAGTAGGGTCAAATGCTGCTCAAGATGAAGACCAAGAATGGACCCTTGTATTGAGTGACATAGAGGTCGCTAGTGACTTGATCAGAGTAACTTCAGTGGAGTGGTGGCGTCAAAGACTATTGGAATGGGCTCTGGGGAATTTTGACAAGGGAGAAAAAAAGAAGCCAAAAAAAAAGATTGCTTTTTTTTTTTCTCTGAAGTTTTGATATGAAAGAGAAATGGGAAGCAACGTCCAGAAATGGTTTTTAAGATGTGAGAAGCAACAGCATACATGTATGCTAATAGGAATGGTCCCATAGAGGGAAACAATGTGTTGATGCAGGAAAGAAGAGTTGCTAGAGCACGTCCTTGAGTAGGAGAAGCAGTAGGATCTAGTGCAGAGCTCAGTAAACTACAGCGTAGGGGCCACTTCTGGTCTACCACCTGTTTTTATACTTTTATGGGAACACATTGTGTCTATGGCTGCTTTCTCTAGACAGAGATGAATAGTTATTCACTGTCAGGTCCTTTATTTAAAAAGTGTGTTGACCCAGTCCCAGTTCAGAGATAGAAGGACTAATCTCAGACAAAAGCAAGAGCAGTACATCAATAAGAGAAGAAAGAGTGGCGCATATTGATAGAGATGCTAATAAGGGGTACATGTGGAGAAAGTTGAAGACATTTTCTGTTTGCCTTTACTTTCTCCATGACAAAGGACACAGAAGTCAGCAGCTGAGCGTAAAGGTGATGTGAACCTTCAAGCCTTTCTCAGCACTACTTGGTGCATTTCTTTGAAGATCTGGCTATAAGGTTAACAGGGACTGTGAAAGATCATTCACATCAGCCTCCAAAATAATGTTGTTTTGAGCATATTAGCCAATTTATGAGATCAATGCAAATTCTTCCATTGGTCAAGAAGCTTGAAGAAAAAAACAATTGTCTTCTACCTGCCCAATACTAGAGCCTCTTTTGAATATTCTGCTTTTCTTTGAGGTGCAGCGCTACTCAGAAAGAGACTCCTTGTTGTGCACACCACCTGCTGTAGTCACACAGTCTGAACAGCATTGCAGTCATGCCATAAAGCAGATTGCTCTGAGCCAGGGGCTGGGGTTCACAGGATTGCCATGTGCTGGGATTCACCTTCAGATCTCAGGGGTTCAGTGTGCAACTGTTGGGAGATAAGTCCTCACTGAGAGAATCTCAGCAAGGAAGGAAATCTGTCTCGAGTTAGCAAAGAGGATTCCCAG